TCCCTCCATCCATCCATCCTTCCAGTTGCCATGGCTACACCAGACTTGACTCTTCCCTGCTTTTGACCGCCTGCATGGGCTTGATGTCAAAAAAGGTCCCTGTGTGACAAAAAGCTCAGGGACTGGGACCTCCTGTATTTTGGGATCAACAACTGCTCCTGGGGTGAGCGACAGGCACTGAGTGCCCTGGCAGCCCCACAGCCCAGCCAAAGAGAGCCTTGCAGGTGCTGGTTTGGGGTGCTGCCTCCCCCCTCGCCTGTTTGATGGCAGCAGGGACCCAGGAGAACAGCAAAGGATCTTCTGGGGATAAATGCAGGCGCAGGGCCATCGGCCGCCTGGCGCTCGATGCGAGGTGACAGCACAGAGCAGAGATCCCCAAGCAAGCGCTCGGGCTGCGGCTCCTTAATGGGCAAGAACAAAACCCGAGCTTGGGTCACCACGTGGGGCTTCAGTGGCTGAAATGTGGGTCAGCAGAGGCCTTGCTGGGGAGGCAGGAATGTCACAGCTCCACAGGGATGTCAGGCACTGCAGCGTTTGTTTGCTTTCCAGCAGCACAAGGAGCAGAGGGGGAACGTGTTTTGATCCAAGTTCCCTGGGCAGGGGGATTTTGGCTGAGGGCACAATCGGCTGTGAGGGGTGTGACTGTTTTCAAATCCATGGGCTGCTCTGATGCACGGGGCCAGTGGGTGAAGTGAGAAGTGTTTGCACAGCCCGGGTGTGTTGGGCTGTGGGGAGCCACAGCATGCCACAGGCTTAGTCACCATGGGGCAATCCCTGTGCCCTGCCCCTGCATCTCAGGATCCCTGCCTGCTCCTGGCCACCCAGGCACCTCATGAGGACAGAGCTGTCCCCCTAGGCCAGTTTTCCCTCTGATGGGTGACCGTGGGCTCCCCAGGGTCAGGGGGAGCAGCTCTGCTGTTGGTTTGCTGTGGTTGGGGCCCCCTCATTAGGCAGAGCGATGCAGGGGTGACGTGTCGTGCAGGGACCCCATGGCGTGGGCTGTGTTTTGGCAGGTCCCGCGTTGAGAGGCTGGGCACACAGGGGTGCCAAGGTGCCAGGGTGCAGGTTTGTCTCAGCAGGGTGGGGTGAGTTTCAGGGTGCTCRCCCGCTGAGTCAGGGGCTGAGCAGCCGCGTGAGCTGCAGCCGTGCCCCGCGTGCCTCCGGCCTGGCTGGTGGGGGATGCTCCGCGTCCTTCCCCGACCCCTCTCTCCACACCCCGGGGACAGGCTCTGTGGCCAGGCTGGGCACTGACGTGGCAGCTCAGCCTCCCCAGGGCACTGCCTGCTCCCTCCCTCCTTCCCTCCCTTCCCTGTGCCAGCCTGCACATCACTGCCTGCCTCCTGGGCAGCCGAACTGGGGGCTCCCCATGCCAGGAACCCCAGATATCCCCTGGAAGCTCAGCCTGGAGAGTGCTCTGATGCCCTTCCAGCACTGCGTGGGGTGCTCTGAGCTCCTGTCCCTGTCCCATTTCACAGAAAGGGAGTGCTGGCACCTGGTTCATAAAACATTGACTTTCCAGACAGGCTTTGCAAAGAAATGAGATGTTGGTGATTGTACGGAGAGCTCAGGAGATGCCAGGGTGCATTCCCTGGAGCAAAGGGTGATCCTCGCTTGTGGCCATGGAGAGCCTGCAGTGGGGCAGGCATTGCCCAACAGCTCCCACTCCATGAGACCCAAAATGCTGGACACCTTTGTGCTCCSARCTGCTGCTTGACCCTTTCTCTGGGYTCCCCRTGCTCTTTCCTACTCCTTGTTATCTGTTGGGTTCCCACATGGTCCTGACCCAGGTGTGACAACACACGGCTGGGATGTGTGGCCCTGCTGTGTGCTCACCTCCCTGGGGAGCAGCCCCGAGGGAAGAGGCACAGGGGGCCAGGGGCTGCAGGAATTCATTTGTGTGCCTGATGGGTTCACTCCTGGCACTGTCCACTGGCTCCAGTCACAGGGAGTGCTGTGGGACGTGTCTGCTTTGCCGATGCTGCTCAGCAATAAATCCATGCTGCCTTTTCCTGGAAGGGCAGAGATCATTATGGGCACCACCACATGGTTTGGATTTTTCCCTTTTCCAAGTCGCACCAGGATGGCAGCCCTGGGGTTTCTCCAGCCACGGCTGAAAAGCCGCTGTTCCAGCATGGTGTTGGTCTGCCAGGGAGGTGGTTTAGGTTTCACAGGCCCCACCTGAYGGGAATTTGAGCAGCACTAAAACTAGGGCTCCTTGTGTGCCTGCGTTATCGGCGTTATCTGCTCTGCTGTGTGGCTGTAGGGAGCCCTGGGATYGGCTCCAGCAGCCCCCACCTCCCGGGCTGAGCCACCCACGGGCCCGGTGTGTTGGCTGCTGGGGTTACAGCAGCTTTGAGTCCCAAAAAAACCCCCAGCACCAAAGCTTCAATGGCAGGTGGATAACACAGCCCAGGAGGATTCACACAGTGTATTCCTTGGTGCTGGTGACTAAACCTGTGCAGGGCTGCAGCCTCCCCACATCACCCCGGCCCCGCTGTCACCAATTCTGCCAGTCCCATGATCCCAAAGCGCCCGTCTCCTGCCTGTCCCCAGCCTTGTTCCATATTTAATGTTTCCTGTCCACCTGAGGCTTTGATTAAGGCACCTGCAGCACACCAAACCCAGCTGATCCCGGGCTGCCTCCAGCTCCTTTACTGTTTAGGGTCCAAGTCACCCAAAAGGCCAGGCAAAAGGAAGCCAATTTGGCTGTTTAATGTTAAATAACAAGTGGGAAAAGCATTCCCAAGGTTTTACAGCTTATTGTGCCCTTTCCCTTGGCATTCCCAGTCTCAATTTYTGCAGACTTGAATCTTCACCACGCAGTTTATTACTGCTGCTTTTCTTTAAATAGTAWTATTTTCGAGGAAATGCAGTCATCGCATCCCTACAGCCACGGCTGGGYGTTTATCTCCTCTCTCCTGGTGAGGAGCTGATGGATATAGATCCAGGCAGCTGCGTGACCTTTACAGTCTCACTCGGAGTCCAGGGAYGTGGATGCAAGATTGTTTCAAGTCATTCTGATTTTATTAAAAACCAAAATACTTCACATTCAATGGCACCTCAGGTCCACAGGATAATTACTCTTGGGGAACGAACAACAACCCAAACCTAAACACCTCAGATAACAATTAATGCAGCTGTGGCTTAGTTAGGCTTTTCCATAAGATCCCAAACTTGGGAGCATCCAACACCCCACCTGCTTTGGCTGTCCTACAGGACATTATTCCAACATTACACCTTAGCAGAAAGCTGACAAACAATTTACTGCAGAAAACCATCATCATCCAACTGATTGCCAAACCCAAAYGTTTGGTGCTGAAGCTCAGGGATCAGCTGCTGTGATGGGGGTTGTGTGTTAAGTAGTAACTTGTGGCACCTCCTCATTGTTTCTTGGTAATGCTGAGGAGTAAAACCCCACAAAAAGGAGCTTTGTGCTCTTCACTCTTTTTTTGTGAAGAACATCAGGGTCCCCAGAACCTTTTTATTCCTGTTCCCAAAGGCTGCAGTGGCTGTATCTTCCAGCCTTCCCAACGAGCAGGAGACTGAAACCGTGGGATTATATATAACCTGACAATCCTAAATCACAGGGGGAGCAGCTGAAGCTCCTTGGTTTGTGCAGAGCCCTCCTGCTGGGATATGTGCTAATACCACATAAAAGTAACAACTGTTGAGGAGCTTCCCTGCCATGTCCTTTCCCATCCTTTATCACAATTAAATTAAAAAGACTGGACCACTGCAAGCTCTATTTTTGCCCCTTGGGCACGTGCTGTCACCTCTGAAAGCTGCTGCTATTTAGGAAGGAACACGAGGAGGGAGGGACTGCATTTCTAGACCCTGTACTGCACAAAGTGTGACTCTGTCCTCATTCKATGTCACCATCAGCATAAAAGTACCGTGATCCTCTCTGTAGTCACAGGAGGTGTGAGGAATGAATGCCCATTCACGTTTAAGATTAGCTTATATGGCATGTGATCCTTGCCAGCGCTCCGAGGCAGCGGAATTCTGACAACAGCAGAGTCAAAAGGAACCCAGACAAATGTCAGCATTCATACAATTTAACAAAGCTCCCTACTTGTTTTTACAAAAAATAAAAAAAAAAAAAAAAAAAAAAAAGAAAAAAAGCCCCGAAAGGTTTTAAACAAAAGGAAATGTCCTTCATTCAACACTGGTAAAATCTTTCAGCGCTGTCAAAGTGACTTCAAAGCTTCTCCACATCTGCCTGCTCCAGCCAAGCACTGCTGCCTGTCCTCAGGCCTTTGTGATGTACCCTTCTCTGATCAGGAAGTCATAGATTTTCCTGGTTTTGTTCACATCGATCTTGATGAGGGCTCGAGCCTGCGCCAGTCTCAGGCCTCCCTGTTTGTTGCACTCGTTCACTAAAGCAGCTTTATATTCCAAATAGGCTCCAGGGACCAGCCTCACCATCTGACAGAGCTGCAAGACAAAAGGTGAACTTAATCAACACCAACACTTGTCGTGTTCTTCGTTCCCTGAGCCCTGCTGGGGGAGGAAGGCGGGGAGTATTTTTCTGTGAACACTTCCAGTGTGTTCCTTTGCCCAGGGGAGGCACACGGCARTGCCATGACGAGCTGTTTGGATCCACAGGTAGGGAGGGGAGGAGCCTGCTGGCTGCTGCATTCARAAACATTCCTGATGGAAAAATGAAGGAGGATGAAAGCAAGCCCTGGGCTGGCAGGAGCACAGCTCTGAGTGTGTCCTGAGTGGGYGTTGCTCCTTCCAGAGCCCGGGCAGCACACATGCCAGCCTTGGAAGCYGCAGTTGGGCTCGCTGGCAGAGAGCCAGGGAGGGCATCTGGCTGCTAATCCCCTGCAGACTCAGGCTCTAATGCCTTCCACAAAAGCAGCTCTGCCGGTCCCCTCCAGGAGTCTGGCATGGAAGCCGTGCAGGGAAGGCATTCTGTGTTTGGAAGTTTGGTAAGGAATGGCTTTCCACAGCCCCTGAGCTGTTTGGCTGCACAGCTCCAGTTTAGCTCCCAAATACCAGCAGCCTTCCAGGAGCGTTGCTCCCGCTGGACAAACTGTCTGTCTCCTCCCTTTAATAAGGAAATGCTTCATGCTCATTCCTCACGGATAGGAAATTGCAGAATTCCTCAGACCTCAGACTTTCTGTCTCAGCTGACCAGGAAATCAGATTCCACACAYACACAAACTCACACACACATACTGATGTCCTGCCACCATTATTCCTGTGCTGAATGGAGCCAGAAATGCCATTTCCACACAGAGCTGTGAGCTGATTCCCAATGCTGCCAAGGGGAAAGGGGAGGCTGAAATACAGCTGTGCTTCAGGGCACTGCAACCTGCCTTGGGCAGCCTAGGGAGSGTAGGAGCTCTATTAAAAAATAATMATCTCTTATTTCAATAGTTTTGCACTGAGTTAGAGGACAGGCCTGCACGGGGCTGGAAAACAAGCAGTGTTCATGAAGAAAAATTAACCTCTCTGCTCAGCCCAGCCTCATCACACAGGCAGGGAGATGCATGTTGTAAGAGCACCAAGTAACACCCTGGGATGCTCTGCAGCTTTCTTTGCTAAATAAGCCAGTTTGTGCTGCATGTGTAGCACAGGAAATGGAAAAGCCAACTGGAAAACCTGAATGATTTCTGTGAGAAAGGAAGAGTAGTCAGGGMCTGTAACTGAGGTGATATTCACAGCTCCTCAGACATGGTGTGGGCAGCCCCGTGCTGGGAGACACAGTTTCTAGAGATGATCTTTCCATCCTTTTCCTCACCTCCTTCTCCTTCTCGTTGAGTTTCTCCGTGCCTGGCAGGCCTGTGAGGTTCAGTGGTGGGGCGCTCCGTCTGCCTGTGGGACGAGAAAGGAAACACTGGGGAATGGGAGCACTTTGGGGGTGGCTGTTCTGGGGAGTGTTAGGGAAGCAACTCAACCCAGTTTGAGCCAAGTGTTTAYAGTCAGGGTTATTTAGGGCTTAGCATAAAGCTCTGCTGATGCGACAAAAGGCTCGGTTTTGCAATTTCAAGCTCTGTGAAATGTTGCATGAGACTCTTGAGCTGTTGGTTTTTGGGAGGAACTGTAAGACAAAAGCTTTGTGTCAGACTGGCACCGGGCACTCCTGACTATCCCAACCCCAGGGAGGGTGTGCCAGGTGTGCTGTGTGAAACCAGCACCTTGTAAGGATGCTGAGAATATTTATTGGTGTGATTAAGCAGCCWATTTCTCCAGCATTACTGACAACTTCATGAGGCAGTTTTCTTTAAATGCCTTTAAATACCATGCAGATATTGCAAGGCAAATACAGTTTGGAAATTTATTTTTTGTCTGCCACGATAAGCAGTACTGAAAGGAGTATTTATCACAAGGTCATCTGATATTCCTCACTTTCACTATTGTTTATAACTTTGCTGGACTTTAGCTGGCACAGCCTAAACTTTCACAAGGGCTGTCTGCTTGCAGGTTTGTTTTATTTTTTCTAATAGTATTTTTTTATAACTTCCAGAGCTCAGGACAAAGTTTGGGTTGTATAAAGTCCCTCACCCCTGTGCCGTGGGTTGCATATTTAGCACTAGATAGGTCTCTATCCCAGGATAACTCCCCAAATTTTGGCAAAGTGAYGAAACCTTGGGAAATGTGCCATTGTGTTTTCCCAAGGACTGTGRTGGTGGCTGCTCCAGCCCCTGCCCTGGCCAGGTGCTGGCCCTGGCACTGGGAATTCTCTGTGTCTCCTGGGCATCTGCAGGAACAGCCGGGATCTGGCTGGGTGTGAGGAGCCCGAGCAGAGAGAGCTGAGGGACTGCAGAGGAGCTGGAGTGTGAGTCTGTGGGAGGTGTAAAAGAAGTTATTTCCCAGCACTGCTCCCTCTTCCTATGGCATGGCACGGCTGTGCTAGGATGAGACACGACAGGATTCGCTTCCACTCTTTTATAAACCCAGAAAATACCACACACACACACAAACTACATTAAAGGAACCGTATTAAGGCTGCAAAGTCAAGAGCTTAGGCTCTAGAAGTGAAGCATTAATTTGCCCTCTTGTATATTCAGAGTGATGCAGCCTTTAATTAGAGCCACGTGGCAGCTCTTCCCCAGCATCCCGCCGTTCCTAGGCAGGATGTTTGTTAATTAGCAGCTCGATGGTATTTTGTTTGGGTTTTGTTCAACGTGTGATGCTGCCTGTAAACACCGTGTGCTATCACAGCTCCACAGGCAGCACAATTCCCCTGCTCCTGGGCTCTTCCCCTTCATGGGACATGACATCCTTGACAGAAAAGGAAGTTCATCCCTCATTTCAGACCTTCAGCTGGAAGATGCTGATGCCCTGAGATCCACAAGGCTGTTTCTTCTCCAAAACACCAGATCCTGGCCATCACCAGACAGGTTCAGAACACCCTGCAGTGCTCTGACTCACTGCTTGCTATCCTGACCCAAATTTCYAAGGCTCCTGGCAGAAATGAGACCCAGTGTCCACCTCTGAGGGGTTTGATTCAAGTGGTTTAACAGCATCCACATAAAAACTGGGCGTAGGGACAGAGCTCAAACCACTTTTCCCTGGCAACATTTAACAACCTGGTAGTAAAACTTTATCCCAGCCTCACTCACCCCATGACCTAAACAAATGGGATGGGAATTTATTTAAATCCCATTTATGAGGACCTTGACTGACCCCTGAATCTCTTCTTACTGGGCACTGAAAGAAGATGGGGTCCTCTGGGTGGAAAAAAACAAAATTTGTGCTAACAGAATGTGAAAATTCCTTTGTTTCCTGCCTTGCTAATGTAGCTTTAGGATGGGTTTTGACCTCTAGTCAGAAAAAAACTAGAAATTCAGCAAAAAATCCTGCMGGATGTGCAAGTGGAATGACTTGCAGATTGATGTAATGTTGACTTAAGCAGTGCTTAACCATGAGGCTTGAGGATTGACACTCTGGCACTCCAGAARAAGAGTCAGAAAGGTATTATTGGGTTTTTATCAGACATCATCCAACACTTACCTGTGGTTGAAGGAACTGGTACCGTGGGAGTCAGGCCAGAATCACTGAAAAGAAAAGAAATTTTCAAATTGCCTTCATTTTTTAAGAATAACTGCATGTGTTGGCCCTGAAAGCGCTTCTTCCACAACTTGTAATAATTACACAATTCAACTTGCATAACCYGAGCCCTGACTAGAAGTCAACAGGATTTATAAATATTTAGTGTTCCCACATTGAGGAATATGCCTGAAACCTGTTAAAAAACCCAACAAAGAAATGCGGAGGGTGACACAATTAAAAATACAGTGGAGACTGAGTGGGGAAATTCCAAGCCATCTYCTGCACACAGGATGCACTTCCTTCACAGTGCAGCTTGCTCCTTAAATCCAACTGCTCATGCAGGGTGATGACACATTAATAATGCTGCTACATCTAAAATCATCTGAAATATTTCAGGCGTCATCTGTGCCCTCATTAATATCCATAAAGAGCTCATTTCCCTCTGTGACTCTATGAACAGCAGCTCAGYTCCTGAAATATAAAACTGAGGGGTTTGAGTCCCTTCCTTGCCTGCACTGTTGCTGTCACCCTGAATTCTGCCCTGCTGAATTTTGCAGACTGTTCCTACTATAATAAATCAGGGATGGACTTGTTATTAACATGCAGGAAAATGAGTTTGATGCAAACTGAGCCACAGAACCC